CCTCCTGCCTCTGGAATTGGCATTTAGTGAGGATCTATGGCTAAAGAAGGGTCTGGCCTCCTTCCTATGCTCCACCTGGTATAAGATTATCTGTAAGGCCAGCAAGGAAGATGTCAGGATTCTTGGAATTGGATTAGAGCATGTTATTTACTTAGCATCTGAGTGAATCCAAAGGCCGGGCGCTATACCACTGGAGTACTTGGCTGGGCCGGCTGGGCCTGCTGGGCCTGAGTGTAGAAGGCTCCAAGAAAAACAAAGACCCCCATCTCGAGTGGTTCTAAAGGAAGGGGCTGGGCCTGCCTTCCAACAATTCCGTCATCCCCAGAAGGGTGTTCTTAGAACATAATGGCTCTAGTTACAAATTCTATTAACTCTAATAGTTGTTCTGTGGTGAATGGATAATGCATTTAGCAGAAATAGACCCAATCAATTTATATGAAACTCATAAAACTTTCTCATTGGAATTGGCATCTGTTCTTGCATCTCAGGAGCATGTGTGGAAATGGACAGGCGGTCACCCTCACTTCTGGGGACAATAGCAGTGCTATAGGTTAATTGGAGAGATGGGCCAGATAAAGCAATGGCTCCCTCATGACATGGACATTCAGCCCATGGACTCCTGGAGCTGGAAGTGGAAGGGACTTAGACACTGTCTGTTTCAAGCCTTGACTTTTTAAAACAGTGGTTTCTCTGCTCTTGTCTGTGTTCACATGAGCCCCTCTCATGAGTGTTGTTACGGAAGGGTTTGCTGACATGCCCAGGGGGGAAGGCTGTGCAGAGGTGGAGGGTCCCCAGCCCATAGCTTGCTAGTGCAAACCAGCCTGGCCCTGTGGTGTTCTGACTCCCAGTGTGGTGCTCTTTTCAATATTCTGTGTATTTTTAATTTCTTTATGTCCCTTTGGCATAAGATATACACTCTGAAAATGGTAGACCAACGTGTCCCCAAACTAGCCAGAGACAAGGCCATGGTTTGATGCCAAGGCTCCACAGTCAGGACTGTGGGATTATGTCCCAAGTTTGAGCTTATTCTTATGTTAGCTGAGCTGATTTCCTGCGGCCCTCCATTCACTGCACAGAGGGGTAAGGAAGCGGGGACAGGTCACTGGCTCTGGGGGCCTGTAGTCCTCAACCTGAGCTGTGTAGGGAAAGAGCTTGCACCACTGCCCTACTAATATTTGTCACCCAAGAGGGAGACAAAGGTGGAGAGGAGAGAGGGAGAGAGTGACTGAGAGGGAGGGAGAGAGAGAGGGAAACCTGGCTCTGCAGCCCTGTGATCGCATTATACCCACCATTTGGTTGGTGTAATTGTAGCGCAAAACTGACAAATGTAATTTTCCCTGGACTTAATACTGGCCCCATTTTCTCTTTCTAGCTTCTTCATCTGATTAGCAAACGTGACCTGAGTCTTCCGAGAACACCGCGTGAAGAACCTGGCTGTGCTCTCCCCTGCCTGCTGCCCTCGAGGCTCAGTTCTGCTCCGTGTGCTGGGAGGTGAGGGAACCCCCAGGCCCAGAGAGTCAGGTGGAGTCCCTCATCTGTGGGTAGGGGCTGCCTTGGGGACATGAGGAGCATTTAGGGAGCTCGGAAGCTTTGTGAGCAACTATTTTCAAAAGACCCCATAGGGCCTCTGTGTTTCTAGGAGTTGCTCTAACCCCTGCCAGGAGGGTAGTGGAAATGCCACCAGCCACCTTGTTCCAGCAGAAACTGACAGCGCTGAACTTTGGAAAGAAAATCTTATTATCTTGTCTCCTGGGTTCTTTGTCGAAGGGCTGGGAGCTGATCTGTTCACGTCCATGCAGGGGTGTCTGTCTGGCTCTCTCATAGCTGTTCTTTTCTGTTTTTAGTGTTTATTTCCCCTCGGAGACTCTGAGACCTGGGGGTAGCTGAGCTGGGTGTAGGAAGGTAGACTTCAGGTTGACATCTGGCCCCGCACCCTGCCTGCCAACCATGGGACTCTTAAATTCTCCTACACCATTTCCCTATCCCTAACTTGATAACAACAGCATCTGTCCCCAGCTGTGGACACAGCCTGGCTCTGGGTGGATGGGCTCACTTGAAGCTCCTTTCCTTTCCCTCCCCGCCCTGGCCTGGCCCTCCCCTTCCCCATGGGCTTCCCAGGTAGAAGCTCTGAGTGTGGGTTTGTAGACACACCTTGCTGCTCACAGGCCACTCTCCTCCCTGGACCAGGAGCTCCCAAATATTGAGTCCCGGGTCAGCCTTGTCCCTGTTGTAGGCACGCAGTGCTAGGCGTGGAGGACCCAGGCTGTTATCCCTGAGCGGCTGTGGCCCTGCCCGAGGGCTTCTTCCCAGAGCCCTCCTCCGCCTTCTCTGGTGTAGGCTCTTGCTCTGCCATCATCACTGGTCACTTGTGACCTCCCTGTCTAGGCTGGGAGCTCTTTGAGCTCCTGATCTGGGTTGTGCTTGCAGCTCTGACTGCAGGACCAGCCCCAGAGGAAGGGTGTAGGGGAAAGCTGGGGCCGGGGCCCAAGGTGTGGCCTGTTCTCCCCAACCAGGAGGCTGAGCTCAGGCAGCTCAGTGGACATTGTTCTGTGGATGGTGGGGAAAGATGGACTTGCCTCTAATAAATCTCCCCAAAGAAAGCAGAGACATCCCCCCACATGCTCATAGGGATCTGTGGCCAGGTGAGATTAGAAGATCTAAGCCTTGGGGGGAGCTGGCTGCAGCAGGGTATCTTAGGAAGGCAGTGGCTCTTTATTTGGTGTCCTGAAGCCTTCTCAAGAAGCCTCGGGTATGTGATGTGGCTCCTGTGTCGGCCCAAGGATGTATTTAGCTAATGTCCTCTTCCCTTTCAGTTGGCGCCACTCCAGAAGAGAGACCGAACACTGACTTATAGCTACCGCCTACGTCCTGCTCTGAGGCTGGGATCAGGGGGAGGGGTAATGTTACCAGTGGGGGAGGCTTGCGTTCCAGCTGCTGTCCTCTCCAGCCTCTCAGGCAGCCCCGCGCTTCTAATTTTATTTGGAGGTGGTGGGGGAGTCACTGCTGCTTTTGAGCCACTGCATGATTTCATTAGTCCAACTGGCCACTGGGCAGGCCCTTATCGATTAGCCTTTTAGGGACTGTGGGAGTTATGTGGCAATAAACCCAGGAGTCACACAGGATAGACGGCTGTTTCCTAAATGCTGGCTGCAGAGGAGCTGGCTGTCGACATCTGAGATCTGAGCCCAAACACCCAGCTGCCCACTGTTCAGTAGCTGTTTCTGGAGTCCTGACTATGTTATCAGTGCTGGTGGGTAGTCTGGGCAGGTGGCTGTGGATGTGTTTACTTAGCACACTAAAAGGGGAAGGCTGGCCTCTTTCCTGGATTTATAAACTTCCTGAATTCATTGCAGGGAGGTCATAGTTGACCCAGAGCCAAGGAGTGAGTGGGGTGAATAACTGGGCTTAGGTGGCAGGGAGGTGCATGAGGGGATGAGTAGAAAGCTGTGCCCTTCAGGGTAGACATTGCCATGAGCCACAAGGCCGAGTGGGAGCTAAGGAGAGCTGCAAGTTAGTAGGTCAAGTTCCCCTCTGTGAGGGGAAAGTGGAAGGATGTTTTGGGAGTCTAATTAAAGGTAAGAGGAGGAGAGAGTAGGGGTGTTGGCAGCTGGATTAGATCAACACAGGAATCAAGAAAGGCTGAGAGTTAGTCCTTGGGCAGCTTTTCAGGGGACAGAAATGAAAACATTTTCTTGAAGACAAAGCAAGACTAACATCTAGTTAATAAGTTGACAACTGATGAATTTAGTGGCAAAAGTGTAAACGTATTTTTCTTATACTTTTCACTAAACCAGGATTTCACATTATAAGTAGAAATTAGAGATTCATCATTGATCTTGTATATATATATAAATTATTATTATTATTTTTTGAGACAGAGACTCACTGTTGCTCCACGTTATAGTGCCATGGCATCAGCCTAGCTCACAGCAACCTCAAACTCCTGGGCTCAAGCCATCCTCCTGCCTCAGCCTCCCAAGTAGTACTACAGGAAACTGCCACAATGCCTGGCTACTTTTTTTCTATTTTTAGTAGAGATAGGGTCTCGTTCTTGCTCAGGCTGGTCTTGAATTCCTAAGCTCAATCAATCCACCTGCCTCGCCTCCCAGAGTGCTGGGATTACAGGCGTGAGTCGCAATGCCTGGCCAATTGTTTGGACATAGACACATCTTTTAAAGGAAAAAGAGTGCAGGTAGGCAGCCTGCTGAACACCTGCTTCTCCAGGCTGCCACATCGGAAGATCCCTCATGTGCCCAGGCACCAAAGCCCGGTTGAGGGAACTCCTTGTCTTGCTGGTGTGGGGTCTGGAAAGCCTGGCTCAGCTTCTCTGGGCCCAGGCTTGATAACCACCAGGAGCATACTGGGTTTGGAGACTGATCCTGAGAGAATCTCCATGACATGGAGAGTGGCTGGGGAGCTGCACCTACAGTTTGTAGTTAGAGGCTGCAGATACCTGCTTTGAAGTTGCAAGAGCCCCATGAGAAGTCTTGGCCTGAGGACTGCTGAACAGAATGGCTTTTGAGGGGATTCAAGCTCTGGGGGAACTATGTTGAATCAGAAGTTTTTAAGGATTTAGCCAAGATGGGGTAGCCTGCCATTGGGCAATAGATAACCTTGGCCTTGGGCCCAACTGTCTTTAGGAGGAAAAGATATCCAATGCTCAGGCTTGCTTTGTTCAGTGCATGGGCAGAGGTTCCGAGGAACTGAGTGGAGGAAGGAATACCAGCTTGGTTCTCCCATTCGGGTGGGCCCTGAGTATTCCCCAGGCATAGAGGAAACTTGTTTCTTTGTACAAACTTCCAGGAGCTTCCTTTGCCCAGGCAATATAAGAATCAGCTTCCTTTTGGAGCCCCACAGTCAGACTATAGGTGGTGTTTCTTCCACAGGTTCCAATTTTAGTCTTTAGTCATACATCCCCACCCCAGATCATAGCACGGATCTTTCTTCTGCTGTTTGCAATAAGACACTACTTTGCTCGGAATTGTGAGCGGAACACTTACCCGTAGGGTCAAAGATGGGGGTCTGTCTGGGTGCATTTTCCCAAGGTGTAGGCTCCTTGTTTGGGTTTCTCTCAAACAGATTTCTTGATTTGGGTGCTGCATTCTGTGGCACCTTGTCCTCCCCATTGACTGGAATAGAAAAGCCCCATGGGCTAAGTTAGGCGAGGCTCATTTCTAGAGAGAGAAATGAAGCATACCAGGAAAGGTGAGAGAGACAGGAGTAGGCGAGGGAGGTTTGGCAGGGCTGGGGGGACAGAGCGCTGGGGCAGGTTGAACTCACTGGTGAGGTAGCAGTCCAGGCTGATGGAGATATTGTCGAAAGCCACGGTGGCTCTGGATCCTTGCCCCCACCATGCGACCATCTGTAGCCAGAACCTGCACACAGCAAGAGGAATGTGTGTGAGGGACAGATGGGCTTGGTGGTGTCTTAGGATTTGGTATCCAGCACCCGCGTGCTGATCCCTTGGCTCAGTATGTCAGCTCTCCTAATCCCAGAGCAGAGCAAGTGGACAGCTGTCAACCTCTCCCCTACCTCTGCGACACACAGTGCCTCCCCTTCCAAAGTATTGCTCCATAATGTAATGGCTGACAATTGGCCCCTAAGTCCAGTGTGGAGTATGGAGTCTGGGACCAGGATTTTCTGATCACTGGAGGAGAATACTTTTGATTTCTGGATGGTCAGGGTATTTGGAAATGAGTAGCCATCATATTCAGCTGGGGCTCCTCAGTGGGGCTAAAGTATTTATGAAAATACTGAAATGTTTCTGTACCAACCAGGGTCCCCTGAGTGCTCCCCACCACCTGTTGCTCAGGCAATCTGGCTCCTTCCCTGATGCCCCTGAGCTTCCCAATTACCAGCAACAAAAGGGTTAAGCCTTTGGTTAGGCACAGCTGGGTCTTGTCCAGCATCACGGGAAGTTGCCCAACTGGTTGTGAAATATAAAGTGATTTGATGATAACCCCAAGGAGTGTTTGTAACCAACACAGAGGGGTCATAAAGTATCCATTGAAATATAGTTTCTTTCCAGCTCTTTCATGGCCTTGCAGGGCCAGGTCCTTGGACTATGGCCAGGGAAGTCTTCACAATAAGATAAACAGAAAAATAGCCTTGATTTGTTTGTTTCCCGGGAAATCATCTCCCTGGAAGGCTATCAGTCAGCCAGCCCTTTCCTGTTTTACAGTGAGAGTTTCTTGAGAAACTTCAAAACCTTTCCCACCTTCCTGAAAGTCAATCTTCTTCTGAAGACAAAATGCCTGAATCTGCTGTATATAGCCATGGACAGGCAAATTCCTCATGGTGGAGTCTACATGCCAGCAAGGAGGGCTGACGGTTGGTTGGGTGTGGAAAGAGAAGTGCCCAGTGAGAACCCCCAAATTGTTTTCTGAGATGCGTGGGCAGCCTGAGGATGCCCTGTCCTGCCCTTGGCACTGGGGACTATGCCTGTGGGAGGCATCTCTCATTCAACCTTGATATGCACCTATCTGCATTTCCTCTATGTTTTGGGTCCTACCTTAGGTCTGTGGGGAATTCTAAGGCAATCAGATAGGAATGCTGCATTCCAGATGCCTACTGTACAGGGGAGAGAGGAGGCATGTGATCGTTAGTGTAGAATAAGGTGGGAAGAGGTCAACACCACGTGAAGGAGCAGGAAATGTGCAATGGGGGCTCAGAGGAAGGAGAAAGTCCACCAGGATGGAGAGATTGGGAGGGCTTCACAGAGTGGTATTTAAGTTGGTTTTGAAGATGGAGAAGAACTCAAAGATTTGGGCATGGGGTGGGGGAGGAGAAGAGGTCTGGAGCAGAGGAGCTGGTGGAAGGGGACATTGGTAGGATAGGCCTGTCTCCCTTGGGTGAGAGGGGTAGGGTTGAGGGTAAAGATGATGAGGACATTCAGAGGCCAAAGAGTTTCATTGAAAATGGGAACCATAGCAAGTTTCTAGCAAGACAGTGGCAAAATCAAAGACCTCTTTAAGGATAATTATGATGGGATTAGTAAGCACGGGCTGCAGACCATGGGAGGATGCAAGAGAAAGGCTGGGGTGATGGCATGAGAGGCACTTCTGCACACATGCCTCACATGACTTCATCAGCTTTCTTTCTTCAGGAGCCTTGGCAAGCTGTAACCATCATTTCTCTGGCTCTCTGCAGAGGACACAATTCATAGATGAGTTCCTGGCTTGAGCCTGGTTGCTCTGGATAAAGCCCAGGCCTGGAGTTCTCAACGGAAAACCAGGGCTCTAATACTGTTCCCTCATTAAAGCAGATGCAACATTCAGAAAATGCTGCTTCCAGGTGGCAAGAAAATAGGCTCTTAGAATAGAAGGCGTCTTGCTCCTTGGTGAGGCATTAGGAAGGCACAGCGGCTGCACCGCAGGGAGTCAGGGCCCCCAGCCCACCTTTCTCCACCCAGGCCATCATCCCCTAATCTGTCATTTGCGGGCCAAGGGGCCAGGCCTGGCACTGATTTCAATGCCTGAGGAGTGTGAGCAAGCAAATGGCATGCATGTGCCCGAGGGGCAAGGGAAACGGACTCCCCGCTAGCCCCTAAATGTGCCCTTCCAGAGAAGCTGCACTCGCTGTACTTCCTTCCTTATTACTGAGAGATCAAAGCTGTGAAGTTCTCTAACAGCCACTGGGCCTCTTAGCATGGATGGGATGATGCAGGCGGGGCTGGAATGGCTTCTAAATAGAAGAGTTTCTAAAGTGCTCTGCAAGGCGATGGCAGTGGCAGCTGCTGTATAAAGGAGTTTGATTGACACTGGGAATTGCACATATTTTAAGTCAGGAACACTCATAACAATCAGGAAGACTCGATCAGATGGCGACATGAAAACATGCCACGCTGCCTCTGTCACATCCCCAGGGGCCACACTGCTAGACTCTCCCTATAGCTCCGGACTCTGGAAGCTGCAGGATAGGAACAGGTGGGATGAAGGTGGGGCATGGCAAGGTGCAGGGGCAGGGTGAAGCAGAGGCAGTCTGGGGAGGGGCCTGGGGTGGCAGGGATGGGGCAGGGAAGGTGTCACAGGAATAATCTGGGGGAGCTGGTCAAGAGACAGGTAGGTGCCAGGGCCACCTGGGTTCAGGATTCTCTACTGTGGATGGCACCTGGTCCTGAGTCGTTTCTTGACCTCAAGGTGAGAAGGAGGTGTTCCTGGCTCCATGCACCCTCTCCCTGATAGAGATGGGCAAGCCTTCCTTAAGTCTCTTGGAGCCTTTCTGGTCTAACCACTCTTTCCTGTGGAAGGCCCCCAAAGTACAAGTCATCTGTGGCCTCAGGTTTTGAGTTCTACCACTTACCTGGCATGAACCAGGTGGCCACTCTGGGTCTGAGGGAAATTCTGGATGTGCCAGCTGGACACCCTGGGACTGAGGGAACATTCTGGCATGTGCCAAGCAAACATTGTGGGTCTTGGGAAGGCAAGGCCCCTGATACCTTACTCTGCCAAGACTTCAGGGGCCAGGTGGTTCTAATGAACACACAGGTTATTCCATTGCCCTGCCTCAAAGCTTCAGCCCTGGTAGGGAAAGGATGCTGAGTCCCTAAGGCCAGAAGAGCCTTCCCCTTCCTCTCTGTGGGCAGCCTGGTCAAGGAGAAGGGAAGCGTCAGCTGCCTGGGCGGTGGGGGGTCCTCCCACTCTCTCACCAGTCTGTATATGAAGAACATGGCAGGGAGCCTCCCCTCTTCTGTCCTTAGTAGTAGATATTTTACGTACTGCCCCCTAATACTTCATACCTGCTCTGCTTTTTCTGTTTTTCTAAAGAAGACACTTTTGATTGCATGGGTTGTCGTTGCTTTTTCTCGTTTTTTCCAGCCGGTAGAGTTTGGAGCTTGTTAAGACACACTTGGCTAGAGATCTTGGTTGGAGGCTGGCTTTGCATAGAGAACACGTCCACCCTGATTCGTCTTGTTCAGCTCTGCAGAGCGGCCCTTTGAAACTTGGCCCAGTAAAGATCTGGGAGGTGGCCATTTGGGCAGTGGGCCAGCTTTAGAGGGGCAGCATTGGAATTGGGTGCCTCCCAGATTCACCGGGAAGATCTCTGCCTGGGAAATGTGAATGCCACTCACGTACGGCTTGGAAAATGCACAGTCTCATTCAGGCAACAGACTGTTAATGGACAGTGAATATAACGCCTTATTGCCATCCTGCCAGCCTTAGGGATTGACAAACGTAATTAAGTTCACTTAATGATTTTAAGTAGCTGACAGAAAGGTGTGTGTCTGAACGTGGACTGAGGGATAGCCACACTTTGGAGGGAGAGAGCAGGGAAGAGTGGCTGGACTGGGTAAAGGCATCTGCCGTCTGGGCACCTGTCTCAGATTCCTCCTCGGCCAGGTAGTGGGCTTAGGAGGAGGCAGTGTTCTGCATCCTGTTTGCAGCTGGGGCTTGTCTGGGCTCTGGCTGCTTAGGAGAGAGCTGGCAGATACTGCCAAGGAAAAATACTTTCTCCAATTTCTCACTGTGTAGTTGATTTGCTGGGCAAAAGTCTTCTAAAATGGACTGTCAGAAAGCATGGGCGGCGGTGTGCATGTCTATTGGAATAATGTGTGTGCTGAGATAGCCCTGCCATGTCTGTCTTATTATCCAAAGGAACTGACTTCTTTCCCGGGTGAAGAGGAGGGGCTGATGGATCGCTTTGGATTCCTGGGACCAGCTCTGGCCACATCAACCCCAACCAAGGCCAGGTCTGGCTCTAGGAATGTTTGGTCCCTACACAGTGAAGTGGGGACAGGCTGGACATTCAAGGCCGGATTTGGGGGTTGGTAGCATCCCTCACACTTGGTCTCACTATCAGAAGTAATTTCTCCTGACTTGGTTTCCCATCTGGGCATAATGATGCCTGGAACACTGGGAAAAAGCCAATAATACCGCTTCCAGGACTGCCCTGGGCCCTAAAGGTCTTTCACAATGAATCAGGCCTGGTAAGGGAGCCTTTCTGGAATGTAAGAGGGAAAACAGACTTTCAGACAGGCTGAGCAAGCACTCAGAATCACTCTGACCTCTGCCATTCTCAGTTCGAGGCCTCCGGGCACTGGCTTTCTGTGTTTGCTTTCAGGGGCTGAGACGAAAGCATGTTGGCTCCCTCGTGTGCACTGGCATGTCGCCAGTTAGAAATGCTGCAGGGGCTTCCCCTGGACCAGCCGGAGGTCCATCTCTGGCAAGTTCCTGTCTTGCTTTCGTTCTCTCCATCTGTGTCTCATGGACTGTGCCGGGCTGGGCCTGGGCTTGGAGGGGAAAGGTACAAGGGAGGATCTTGCCTCCCAGAGCCCTGTCCCAGCAGGGGAGGTGCCAGACTCTAGGCTGGAATGTGCTGAGTGTGTGTGCAGGGTAGGTGGGAGGCAGACAGAGAGAGAAAGCAAGGGCAAGGAGGA